AATTATCATGACAAAAAAAGAACCAAAATGGTTGCATCAACATCAGTACAAATAAAAGTTTTGAACATTGGGAATCAAAAAATAAAAAAAATCTTCTCTTCAATGATAATGTCTTGTTTGTTGCAAAACTAATAGCATTTACATTTCATGTTTTTCCTACCTCATAAGTAATTTTTAAGCTGCTCTGTAGGAGGATTGTGGGAAATTATGGATACACTTCTGCTGTCATTCAGAGTCTGAAATCTTCATGTGGCTTCAATGTGTTTATTTCCTAAAAACAAAAATTGTGTTACTCCAGTTTGACAAAAGAAACCTACAAAATTTGAAAACTGGTTAAAATTTCACAGGAAGAAGAAAGAACTAAGTGATACCTTTTCCAGCTGAGGCAGCCAGGGTGTTACCAGATGGAGGTTCTTCAGACACAGCCATTCTCCATTCTGAGCACACTCAGAACTGTAAATTGACCCATAGCAAGTCAAGAAATTTCAACACCCCAGTAAGATAAAATCTGAAAAAATAAAGAAAGCACTTATGCAAGTAATAAGACACTTTTTGCAAAACTATAGTTTTCACCAATTTACATTTATTTTTTCAAGAGGCCCATAAGTGATTTTCAAGAACTGAAAATTTAGGGGGATTAATAGGAAATTTATGATTTTAACAGACTGACTATTACCTGAGGATGATTCCTGAAAATATCACTAAGTGGCTTTGAAGTGTGTTTAAATTTCCTAAAAACTTAAAATTGTGTTACTTTTGAACAAATTTGAAACACTACAAAATTTCCAAAACTGTATTAATGGCCATTTCATTTAAGAAGAAAAGAACCTATATATTTTGATACAGCCATTTTCCAGTTCCCCCAGGGGATGATTTGAACAAACTTAAATCAAACTACCTGAGTTGACCAGAGGAAAGTTCTTGAGACACATTTTTTAAAAATGCCATAATTTTTGCATAGTAAAAGCTATGGCCCTTCATTTGAACAAATTTGACCCCTTTACCCAAGAAAAATACTTTGTAGCAAGTTTTAGTTGAAATTGGCCAAGTGGTAAAGAAGATAAAATGTAAAGTTTACAAAACAAGAAAGCACAACGAAGACAATTTTTGAAAATTTTTTCACTAATTTTTGAGCCAATAGAAAAATGAAATTGAATACAGTGACAAACCTGGTGGTATTTGTTGCCACCTATAGTCTGAGCAGCCAAGTCCTGTAACTCTTGTGAGGAGTCAGCACCAGGGGAGATAATGATCAGAATAGGCTCGGATGGCAAAGTGTCTGCCTCCAGGAGTCTCTTGAGATTCAAAGAAGGGGGAGAAATCTCCTTCATTCCTGGAGTATAAAATTAGAAATCTTTTATGACTTTCTTAGTAAGCTAAAACTGTTAAGTCACAGGGAGATAAAAGATATGGAATATGAAAATTGAATGAGAAAAAATTATGAGTAAAGATTTATAATACTATAGATTACTAAATTTTCACCACTCCTTATTTTTGCGAGATAGTCATTGACTCTTCATTAGCAGGACAAAATTTTCATGAATTGGGTTTATTGCTCTACTTAATCTCAATGAATACTATTTTATGTGAGAATTGTATCATTGTTGCGGTGTTTTTCCTTTGAAGATCGCTGTGTTTTTATGCTGTCATACATCACGAGTTTGATCTAACAACTGTGATCTATCAAGACAGAGCACGCCAGGATGATGATGAAACACTTCTAATAAATGACCCATGGCCTAACACCGGATAATTGGGGAAAAATAAATACAAAGTCATATAAACATACTTAAGAAATACCTTCCCTTAAATAAAAAAAATAATTTGTACGTCGATTTAAAAAACCAAAAAGAGATTCAATCACACAGCGTGTTTTGAAATTAATATTTTTGACTCGCATAAACTTAAAGCGTAACAAAGCATACAATAAACTACATGTACAGGAAATTGGGTAAAAATTCCGAGCATTGTTTTATTAATTCCAACACAAATCGACACATCCAGTAATTTGAAGAATCGATGTACACCTCGGTCAAAAGCGTCCATTTTCCCATGCAGTGTTCCTTGAACGTTTCAATTGCCCATTTGGTATTTTCACGAGTGTTAAGATTAAGTGACTTAAAGAATTTTCCTTCATAATTTCAGTTTGCATCGAGAAATTGCAATAGCATAAAATCATTTAACCGTCATCCATAGCGTTCAGACTTGAATGGCGAGGTTTAAGAAATGCAGCGCGCTAAACATTTTCCAATCACATGCTCCTTTTTCATTGGTCAGATTAAATTGTGTGTGAAATTTTGATAGATCATGGCTTACTCAGTGCATGAGAATACAGAGTGGAGCTACATGCTTTTAACCTAAAAGTGATAGATTACAGGTAACTCAGTTACTGGGAACAATGATACAAAACATAATACTGTAGATTACTAAATTTTCACCACTCCTTATTTTTGCGAGATATCATTGACTCTTGATTAGCGGGACAAAATTTTCATGAATTGGGTTTATTGCTCTACTTAATCTCAATGAATACTATTTTATGTGAGAATTAAATTTTTGCAAGCACATCGTCTTGCTTATTTACGCGAAAATAAAGATATACAGTTATGGATATCCAAGTCTGCAAAATAATGCAACCACAGTTACTTTTTACTTCATTTACCTTAAGGCATTCACATAAGAACTGTATTACTATGTACAAGATCTTCACCAAATTTTGAAGAAAGAATTGTGCAGGAACTGGTCCATGTGGTCAATTGCTTATTCTGTACATAGCAGTATGTACCTAACTCAAAAAGACGCTAACCTAAAGCCTTGCAGGCAAACAGTCCCATGGCAGTCTGTAGTCTGTCTGGCCTGACTGCCTGGACAACAAGTAACTGCTGGAATAGAGTGACTCGCTTCTCAATCACTGAGGGCACTTCTTCTCACACTTGTTACTATGGTAGAAGTTAGACCACAGAAACCCATCATCAACATTCAGCACCTGGTACAACTTTGGGAAATTGTTCTGCAACAAATGTTTACATTTCTTTTTAAATAAGAACTTTTGTGTTTGAGAATCCCCCTTCCTCCTTTAATTGAGGTCAGAAAATTAAACTTGACTGCTTGCTTTCGTTCTGGACAAAGAAAAAAAGTCACATTCGTCCATTTTTGGCCCTGTGATTTTTTGAAAAATCAGTACAACTCAATTTCAGTTAAAAATATATTAAAATTTCACTTGGACCCTTGGTGACTTCATATCAAATAAAAATGACGTAATTTTGTCTCTTTTTGTTTTTTCTGTTTTTTAATATTTTGCATAGCCCCCAACCTCTGATCTAAATTATTTAATTATAAAATGAAAAAACAATTTCAGAAGATTCTAGTCGATGGAAAATTTTTTGGATCACGGGGTGGGCTCATATTTTTATCAAAATAATTAAAGATGCTCGATTTCACCCATTTTCTTAAAAAATCAAGAACATTGCAGTTTCACGACGTTGGAGTTTCCATACTTTTGACTCTCATACAATTTTTTTTACATGAACTGAAGGCTCTAAGTCTCTACTTTATGTTGATGTTCGAAATGGGACCTTAGGACTTGGTCAGTGAATTGTTATATTGACAAGGCCATTTTATGGAGTTTGTGAACCTACCTCTTTGTTTAAGAAACTAACACAAGAGAGAGAAAAAAATTCTAATGCTTCATTTTCTAGTGAATAGAAAACAGAAGCTTGTTCAACAAAGCCAACATTTCTGTTGAAGAGATAAAGAATTTTTGAGAGTCCTTGCAAACATTCATTCTATTAAAAAGGCCTCTAGTTTACCTTGAGATTGGTGACAGCAGTGTGCCTCTCTTGATCAACCCCCCAGGAGGGTAATTCCCACCCTCCCTCCGACTTCACATCAGACACCAGGATTCCTGTGAAACCCTCCCAGTCCTGTAAAACAGTCAACACATCAAAGAACTCAGAAGTACAGAGAGCCGGGCTCATTTACAGAGTAGAACGAATTTCTTACATGAATCATACACTGATATTCTGATGAAAAAAAATTATTTTAAAACTATCAATATAAATGATAAGACACTGACAGTGAGTTTTTCAATCCTAATACCATGGTCCGATTTTGTCAAAATCAGAATTAATCTGGTACCGTAGCTGAATGTAAACAAACAGGCCAGTCTGGTTCCCTCTCCTGCTTTACCTCGTATGTGTAGAGAACTACAATAACACTGATTATCAAAAATCCTTACGCTAATGAACTATGTTCTTTGACTTAGAACTGAAGTTTTCAAAGTCATTACTACTTAAGTTTTATAAAGATAAAACTTCATTTTACTTTTGTTGCTTAATATTTAGCGTTTGTATTATCTCAAAAGCAGTTGAGAGCAAGAACTATATTTTTACTCATAACTTTAAAATGGCGACTATGGGGTTGACTTCCTGCCTTGAACAGGATGACATAAGCTGGCAGTTGCTCTTTGAGAAATAAGCCTGGCTAAAAAATCAACATTTTTACAGAACATTTTGAATATTCCATTTTTAACAAATATTTTTGCAACAAATAGAGAGTTTCCTCTTATTTTGAACATTGCTTAAAGCTAATGTACAAAGGTTTTATTCAAACTTCTCTGGTTTCATTCCATGCACCATGTGAAGGGTAAACATGAGTCGATCTGCTTTGAACAGAGAGCGGCAGACGTATTCATACACCAGATTCTGTAGTCTCTGAGTCAGGGCTCGGATTCTGTGGTCAGTCCCACTGCCGTCCTGTAAATGTATAGTCAAGTAAAGAGTTAGCTTAATCAGCTTCACCTCTGAATACTTTTTCTGAACTCTAATAAACAAACATCAATATGACAAGAAGTCTCGATAAAAATATATTTAGAATTGATACAAATAATATACATGTATAGAAAAAAATTATATGAAAATTCTATTTTTAAAATTTCAGAAGCAAAGAAAATTTGATTGAGAGAAAATTTAAGATATAAGCTGAAATACATTAATTGTTTGGTCTTAAGAGCTTTCTGGAAGATTCTCAGGAAGGCAGCTAGACTGAATCTGTACATGTTGTTGATTTTAGCCAAGTCACTGATGACAAAGTACATCCTACTACCACTCTCTGCTAGAGGCAGGTAGGTCTTTCTCTCCTAAAATAAAATGATCAATAAATCAAAAGATTATTGTTTTACAGGAAAAATTGATATCGGTAATACATGAGGAAATGTGTTTCACTTGATTTTCCAAAAGAAATTAATTCACATGAAAAGGACACAAAATGGGTACATTGTCAGATGTATTTTACTGAAAAAAAGACTGAAGTAAAATTTACATGAAAAATTGTGTGTGATAAAAAAAATTAATTTGAAATTCTTCATGTTCTTTCCAAGTGAAATTTACATAAGCTACATTAAACTTGCATATTTAGCTGTGATAAAAATACCTTTAGATTTCTTTATAAGAAATATGCAGAAATTAGGTATTCAAGAAGTTCTCACAAAGCCACCAAGATAATTAAGACCATTACCTGAGACAAAGTCCCTACTATAATGATTTTATTAAAAAATAAAGTAAGTTTTTTGTGAATGTTGCAGGATAACCTCCAAGGTTGAGAAATGTTCCTGAGGCTTTTATATTTCAAAGAACATTTCTCGACCTCGGAGGTTATCCTGCATCATTTACGACAACAAGGACTTTATTTCTATTCTACTAAGATCGATGAAATATGGCTGATCATTTCCTCTATAGAGAAACGAATAGTTCCATTTAACACCAGAGGGAATTACATTGTGTTAAAATTTGAAGCATCTGCAGTGAGTAGTTGCTGAGAAAACTGCGACGAAAGTTTGTTACGGACGGACAGACAGACAGACACACAAGGGGAAAACAGTATACCCCCCTCTCCTCTCAGAGCAGGGGTATAAAAAGGAATATTCCTCAAAACAAAGGTCAGAAGAATATAGAGATCACCTGCCCAGTCTAATTTCTTGTTCCTATAAGAAGACTTAGTAAAAGAAGTTTCAGGACGTTGTACGGCCACAGAAAAATGGAGTGTTTGCAGTTATAGATGCCAAGAGCCGAAGCAGCGAGATGAACTTTTTACGACCCAGGCCTAGTGAGGTCCAGCCAGTGGACACCTACATGGAATCTGTGTCAGATGACCCAAATTCAATATTATACAAAGTACTTCACCAAGAAAAGACGGCTAAATTGTGGAACAATTCATTTAAAGAACACTCACACATAAGTTTCCAGACTGTGATGGTCTACTGGACTGGTATCGGCATGGGGAGGAAAAACGAGGCCTGGCATGGATCCTTTCCATCCATTGTAAGAAGTGCCACTATAACCAGTCACAGAGAAAAACTTTACAAAGAGGACTGAGAAGGTCTGGCAGGGAATGAAGAGCTGCACAGCTGAATGTAGTCATGGCTGTCCGTCACCTGGGAACCAGTCTTACACCAGAGGGTATGCATGGTATGCTTCTTGGTACAAATACTGAACCAGCCTCAGTTGCCAACATGCAACAGCCCTGGAACAAGTGGGGAAAACTATTACATATGTAAATTTTATGAAGAAAATTAGGAAGAACATTGAAGAACTTTTAAATTAAAAATGTACTTCCTGATACCCCCATCAAACGGAAGGAGATGCTTGGTATCAATAATGCCACATTCAGTGCCATTTTCCAGTTTGCCAAAGTGACTTTTAAACCGTAAGTGAAAATGTAACTAGAGGTAAATATATAGCATTCTCTGTAGAAATAAACTATGCAAGAAAGGCGCACACCTACGAAGCAAAAGAAAGGAAGTTACCTTGCCCAGGTTCCCAGGTTAAGAAGTTTTTTTTTTCTGCACTAAAATACTGACAGTAAAGGAAAAACTTCACTGTGTTATATATTTCAAGAAGTGGTGTCAATGGGCTACTTAATTCTGATGGAGTTTTGGACAATTTGAAATCACAAGGCAAGAATCAACAGCATAAAAACTTACGACTTTTCAACTTTATACACAACAATTCCGCACGATAAATTAAAATCAGGCTTTTTGATATCATTGACTGCTTCTTCAGACAAAATTTAACTCGGTAAGTTTACTACCTCCATTTCATCAAAATTATGGTTAGAACAGATTTTTATTTGCATCTCTGAAGTTGACATCATGCTTGAATATTGACAACAACCAGTCCAACAATTAAAACCTTAAGTTTATTAGCATCACTTTTTAATTCATATGAGAGTACATTTATGCAAAATTTTTCAGCAATCACAATTTCAAGGGAAAACCAAGGTCTATAATGAAACATGCAAAGAAGATTTGCCTTGGGTTTGTAATCTCACACCCCATATCAACCTGAGGCATTTATCTTGAAAAACACTAATTTACACCTTTTACCACTTCTTGCACTTCATTATATGAAATATTCATTTACATAAGAGTTAATCTTTTAAAATTATGTACCAAGTTTTTCACCCGTTTTTTGACTAATTCTTTGTTTAAGACAAAAGTTCAAATAAAATTTCAATTTATCGAACTAATAATACATGTCAAAACCTGTATCTTGTGATCACACCCCATTTTAACCTTTGATACCAATATCTTGGTTTAATTTTGAATTGACAACGATGCGAACTTCACATATTTTGCCATTGTTATTGTATTGTTTTTATTATCTGAAATTAAATGATGTCAAGCAATGTTTTTGTGACATCAGTAATTAGGCACCTGAATGAAAGAGACTTATTTTTAAAAAATAGAAAATAAATGGATTTTGTATTTTACAAAGTATTTCCAAGAAAAATGCTCTAATTTTTCTGTGAAAGAAAATGAAAGTTTCCAGTTGATGAAAGTCACAGTCAAATTTTGAAAGTGACCTGGCATAAATTTTATTGATTTAATAGGTGCATTTTTCGTAAACTTGAGCCTTTCTTTTGGTTACAGCTGAATAATGGCTGGCGGGTCGTATATTTAGGAACCAGCTTGAACCAGAGGGTATGCAGGTTGCTTTTTGGTGCAAATTATTTTATCGATTTGCCAAAATGCAACAGCCCTGGAACAAAAAACTTTACATATGTAAATAAAAACAGTAAGAAGAAAATTAGGAAGAACATTGAAGAACTTATAAATAAAAATGTGGATATCCTGATACCCATCAGAACGGAAGGAGATGCTTGGTTAATAATGCCACATTCAGTTTAAAAACCCCATTCCAGGCTGCCACCCAAGTGACTTATACAACGTAAGGGAAAATGTAACTCAGAGGTAAAATGTGGTAGCAGTTCTCTGTAGAAATAAACTATGCAAGAAAGGCGCACACCTACGAAGCAAAGGAAAGGAAGTTACCTGCCCAGGGCACGAAGACTGCACTGCAATCACTGCAACATATGAGAAGAGATGGGCTGCTAATTGTGTTGGTGAGTTACAAAGTGATGACTGTTCACTAGTCATACCATTTCATCAGTGATGGAGACAGTGCCACTGCATCTGGTGCATCTGAAAAACAAGAATGATTGAAAACCTTAAGGACTTGCATCACTTTTTTGACTCTCAAAGAAAACAGACTGCTAAGGCTCTATTCAGCAATCACATATTTCCGGGAAGAACCAAGGCTATAAGAGAAACCATGCAGAGAAGATTTGCCTTGCATCTAAAGCTTCGAGGCATTAATTTACCACTTTTACCACTTCAATGCACTTCATTATATGAAAGCCGAAGAGTTAATCCTCTTAAATTATGACCAAGTTTTGAGTTTTTTAGAAGTGGGTCAAATTCAAAGTTCAAAGTTCAAGGATAAAAATTTAGTCTAAAGAATAATACATGTCAAAACCTGTATCTGTCTATCACACCCCATATCAACCTAAGACTCCAATATCTTGGTCGAGGGTTGATATTGGATGCGATACATATTTTGCCATAGTATTGTATTGTTTTTATTATCTGAAAACAGTTTACATGATGTCATTAAATGTTTTTGTGACATCAGTAATTAGGCACCTGAATTTTTTTTTATAAACTTCATAAACAAATAGAAAAAGACCTGAAGTACTCCAAATAAAAAATACAGAGATGTTCTGGAAAGATGTAAAGGGGTGTGATAAGGCTGAAATAAGGGTGCTGATATAGGGTGAATACACTGTGTAATAGATAGTTTTCCATAGGCCTGAATTTAGCGAAAGTTACCTCCCATTGGCCGCCATATTGGAGGTCGACTCGGTGATTTTCCCTCTTTGTCTTACCAAGTTGAAGAGGTTGTTGCAGGAATATTTGGTGGAATTTCTTTAATAAATAATTTTTTTTAACTAAAGGAGGCTTCCAAAAATTTATATACTTCAGAAAAATAATGATTTTTAATTCAAAATAGCTAATATAAAAATTTTCAATTGGTTGATGAATGAAGGAATATGAGTATTTGGACCTCCAGTATGGGGGCAAAGGGCCCCATTCCCAATTGAATTCCTCCATTTTTCATTCTGGGATTTTTGTTGAAATTTTTGAATGCTATAAATCAAATAAATTTGCTTCAAAATTATGCAAAATACCTGTATTTATATAAAAGAAATATATAATTTAAATTTGCCATAAAACTCTTTAACTGTTCAAAAGTAATGGCAAATCTACTTTTTTGACAATGCAATTTCATACTATTAATTTTTCCTTTTGTCAAGGTCTATCTGCAAGAATAACATTTTCCTATAAATCAGTTAATTAATAAAGATTTAATTTAAAACCAATGTTTTTTTTAGTTTGAAAACAACACGTTTGATAAAAAATTTTCTATTTTAAGAATATATAGTCTCATCCAAAGATGCAAAATATTAATATTCAGATACATTGTAATATATAACATTTCAACAAAAACTCATTAATATTACTCTTCAATTAAATGAGTTAAGAATAATTAAATGGGATTTCTGCTGTTTTTAAACGCCAAGTTTCATAAATTAGAGAAAATTTCAGACTTTTTTTATTTTTTTTAAACTTCAAAACTTAGAAATTTTGAAGAATAGGACTACAGTGCCTTGATTTTATTTATTGGTTAAATTTACAAGATTTCTGGAAAGACCTGCAAAGGGGTTTTAAGGTCAATAAAAATTTTTTGATTAGGTGATCACACTGTGTAATAGATAGTTTTGAAGAGGCCTGAATTTGAAAGTTTTTTTGGCTAAAACTTGGATAATAATTTATCTATTTTTGAATTATACTTTGAAATTTTTTTCAAAAATTTTGGTAAATTTTTTAATGAATAATTTTTTTTTAACTATGAGAAAAAATTCATATAAAAGTAAAAATAATGATTTTTAATTCAAAATTTAATATAAAAATTTTTAATTGGTTGATGAATGAAGGAATATGAGTATTTGGACCTCCAGTATGGGGGCCAACAGGAAATAACTCTTGCTAAATTCTGGCCTATCGAAAACTGTCTATACAGGTCATCATATCAGGGATGCAAAATACCTGTATTATATATAAACAAATATATAATAAAACGAAATAAAACCCCTATATGTTCAAAAGTAATGGCAAATCTAATTTTTTGACAGTGCTTCGAACCCTCAGGTCAAGGTCAAAGAGCATTTTCCTATATTTTGATGACTTACCATCTCAGCTCTGACTGTCACTCAAGTCATGGTTCTTCTAAGACATGATGCTTGTAGTTTCCCCTTGGAGCCTCTACAATACACATTTCAGAGACAGACTATTAATAATATTTTTTATTAGGTCTATCACAAGAGATTGCCTCTGTGGTTCATATTTTCAACATTTCCATACCTAAAACGCTTTCACTTTGACATTTTTTGTTTTTTTTTTTTAACAATGTTAATTGAACTATGAGAAAATTCAAAGTAAAACAGTATTCCTTTTCTATTTATATCGTCCATCAACATTTGTTTATCGGATCTCCGACGCCGACATTCACATTGTATTCACTGAGGATCAACTTCGTTTTTTTTATCAATATTGGCTTAAATTCCGCCCATTCTGTTTTTTGGTTATATCTATCTGGGTATATATATCTATTTGTTTTCAAATACTTTTATTTTACTTTGTCATAAATAGTTTCCAATTTACCTGTAACAACTTTTGACTATCGTTTGATCTTCGTTTCCCGCGCTGTCAGAATAAATGGAGTTTGACACTTCGATCCCGATGCAATTTAATTAAGAGTAAATAAGGATAGATTATAGCAAGGGTATAGGTGTATAAAAAAAACCATGGTGCATGTTAAATTCAACGAATACAAATGATTCTTCATGTCTTTCTCGCAAAGTGATTTTGCCAAAATAGATATTTCTTTTTTTTTCTTCAAATAGGCCTATTTATTTTTTGTCTATGTGTTTACCCTTCATTGATAATAATAACAGGGACCGATATGTTGATACTACATCATGTATAAGTCCCTGATAATCATTTTAAAACAGTAAATTTTAATTTTGTACAGTGAAAAAGTACGTCAATCACGTAAGGATCCAAATTTTTTGTCAAACCAGCGGGAAAGCGGTCGGCCCGAAGTATAACAAAAATGAAAATATATATGGGCATAGGAATTTGTTGACAAGAAAATAAAAACCCTCAGATGTCGAACCCCGTAAAACAGCTTTAGAAAAAAACATGCCAGACACCCAAATCACAATATTAAAGTTTAGCGTTGTTAATCTATCTTGTAAAATACTCACCTCTGTTGGCCGACATGCTTCTCTACTTGAATTAGAACTCACAAATGCTATGGACACGAAAACCAGAGACTCAATCTCAAGTGCTTTGCATCGAACATTCCCTTGGTGAAGCTATTTTAGGTCTAGCAGCTCAAAAGCGCTCGTGCATGAATTACCTGAACAGTTACCGATAGACTCTAGTCGCTATGTTTACATGCACACAAATCTCGTGCTACTCACATTGATTTCAGTGTTAGCTTATGGAGCGGATCCAGGAATTTTTCCAGTGGGTGTCCACCCAAGTTACAACAAACTCCAATCCCATAAATTTCTTGAATAGCAAAAAAAAGTTCAACTTCCACGTTGAAAAGAACGAAAACCTATTTCCTGTGTGGGTGTGGGGGTCGTTGGCTTATAAATCTTCATATCTTTGACTTTTTACATCAACTTAACACAAATCTGTTTTTGAAGGGGATCGGCGTTTCTAGGAGGGGGGGTACTTTTAGTTGGATTGGTATATTTACGTATGATAACATTTACAAATAACAGGGGGTCCTGACACTCAACCCCCACCCCCATCACCCCCGATTCTCGCATGGCTTGATAATACACCCCGGTTCTATGTCTAGAATGAGTAGAATTTACAAAGCTTATAACCACCTAAAGGCCTCGGTCGTTCTGTCTCTCATCTTTTTTTATCATCTAGCATGATTTTACATAAAGATCAAATGAGAGAGAGAGAGAGAGAGATCAAATTCTTTCATTACTCCCTAACCCCTCATCAAATTTTTCTTATTCATAGTTTTTTTCTTATATATTAGATATTAATTTCAGGTCAACCTTATATACTATTCAATTTTTTCTGTATAGTACTAGTACTGTAAGAAATCCATTTTCGTTAGAGGAATAGTGTATCAGAATTCCTTGGCTAGCAAGCACGCGAGTGCGGGAAATCGAATTTTCGCCACTGTTCACTGATCAATTATTTAAATAAAATACAATGTACATTAGCTTTTACTTTTTAAGGACAGTTAATATGGATTTATAGAAAATTCCACATAAAGAGGAGAGAAATGAGAAAAAAAAATAAATAGATCTTTGATAAATCTCTTTACATGTTAGCAATTCATACACGCAAGTATTTTGACACCTGATGAACTTTTATTACGTATTACATTTTGAGTTCACTAGTACATGTATCATTTCCCCCACGGATATAAAAAGCGAATTTGAACATTTTTACTGGATGTTTTGGCATTCTTTAAAGATTTTTATTGTTATTTATTTTATAACTTTTTTTAAGGTTTTTATTACACTGTTTAAAGGCCTCATATAATATCAGATTCAATATGATTTTGCCTTTCCATTTTTCTGTCTGTGTTTGTACTTTTAAATTTGCCAATAACTTTTGAGTAACTGTAAGAAATTTGACCTATTGACCTTTACCATTTTCTTTAACTTTGGCCAATAATATAGTATGATGCAGAATTCCAACATCATTGTGTATTTCAAAGAATTTACAAGCATTATAGTGCCACGCAATATTGCGGTAATTCCAATTTTAAAGTGCCAACTTTAATCTGCTTTTGTTGAGAAACTTTAAAGTTGATTCAATTATTTTTTCCAATAAAATACTTCAATGTACCATTAATTCCAACTTTAATCTTGGCTTTTCCAACTTTCTAATCTCACAGTTTAATATGAATTTAATAGCAGTTGGTAAGAAATTTAGAGAGGGGGGGGGCACTTTCCAACTTTAATTCCACATAAAGTTTTTTTTTCTTTTGTTCAAAGTATACAAACTTAATTAAAGAACATAACACACTAAATAATATTAGAGAGCAATTTTAGATTGCAGATTTCTTCTTTCTACTTCTTGGTACTTTTACAATTAAAGCACATTAATAAATTGTTATATATATATATTTGTTTGATTTATATACTTGACCTTTTCTTTTGATCTTATAAAACTTTTTCATCTTTATTCCTTTAAGGAAATCTTGTTCGTAATTCTATTGAGAATAACTTCATATAGATTATAATTACACAATTTTTCTGTACATGACAGTTTTGGAATTAAAATTACATTTTAATCATTTATTAGTTAATTGAAGATAGCGGGAAACAAATTAAATACTCAAAGTTTTCAAATTTTATTTAATTTTACATTTTCTGGTAAATATAAAAATAACTAAATATATCAATATTTTGACGGTAAATCTCTTTTTTTGTTACATTTTATACAAATTTTTTTTTAATGATGTTGACAAGCAAATTTATTACATTTTGAGTTCACTATTACATGTATCATTTTCCCCACGGATATAAAAAGCGAATTTGTACATTTTACTGGATGTTTTGGCATATTTTAAAGGTTTTTATTGTTATTTATTTTATAACTTTTTTAAGGTTTTTATTACCCTGTTTATAGGCCTCATATGTTAATGCCTTCGTTATCGAAGATTCAGGGGTATATGATTTTGCCTTGTCCATCCGTCTGTCTGTCTGTCTGTCTGTGTTTGTCCGCAAAAACTTTAACCTTGCCAATAACTTTTGAGTAACTTTCTTCGCCTACCAGCAAATTTGACCTATTGACCTTTACCTTGGAGTTTGACCCATTTTCCAAAAAAATACCGAACTTTTAACTTTGGCCATCTTAAGTACAGTTGATGCTTATTAAGGCTTCCATACATCATATGTGTATTTAATCTATTTATTGTGAAAAGATGTTTCAATAGATATATATATAAAAATTATAAATTCAACATTGTCTTTTTGACCATGACCTTACAGTTTGACCCACTTTTACAAACCTTAAACTTTGGCCATAAATTTTGAACAGTTAGCACTAGGGCTTTTACATTTTACAGTTGACATATATTCCCCGTGACAAGACTTTGGCCTTTTGAATAGTTGGTGCTGGGGTTACATATTTTACTCGTATTTCTAATAACAATTTCTTTCCCTGGATACCATGAATTTAGTCTGGCCTACTTCTAAAAAACTTTGAATGTGGCCACAACTCAAAAAAGGTTAGTTCTAGAGCTTTAAAATTACAAAAATATATTCATTGAAATATGTCCTATGTCTGGATACATGTAACAACATTTTTATGCTCTTGACCTTGAAGTTAGACTTGCATTTGAGAAACTTCAACGCTCGCTTTTAGCTGCCTTGCGGGGGCATCAATGTTTCACAAACACATCTTGTTACACCGCCGTAATCGAAGATTCGGGGCCAATACTGTTTGCCTTGTCCGCCTGTCTATTTGTCCTCAAATACGTTAACCTCACTCATAACTGTGTAGTGGTTGGAGCTATCGCTTTCACATTTCACAGGTATATTACCTGTTGCAAGACCCTTCTTTTGGTATTTATAGACAACCAAATTTAAAAATAAACTGCCTTGATCTTGAAGTTTGACCCACTTTTATGCTAAAAATTTTCAAAATTTTCCTTGTTTAAAAATACTTTAATGTCAATGGGCCTTACAATTGTTAATGGTTGGAGCTATCGCTTTCACATTTCACAGGTATATTATGTTGCAAGACCCTTCTTTTGGTATAACCAAATTTGACTTTGATCTTGAAGTTTGACCCACTTTTACTAAAAATTTTCAAAATTTTCCTTGTTTATAACTTCTAAACAGTTGTCTTTCATCCTTCATATGCCTTTAATGGGCCGTAACACTCTCCCCAATAAAATATTAAAAGTTTTAGGAGGCAAGTCAAAGATTAAAGCTGTCTTTTTTTAGCCTAGATTATATTGCCACAATTAAAAAGTAGATGTACTAGTACGTGCCTGGCATTATTTTTTTTTTTTTTTTTATACGAGTATATCGCACCTTCAATAGACTTAAAATTCTAAATTAATAAAACTGATTGCTAAATGTGTTTGTATATCATTGAATCATAATAAAGCAATTATTGCTGTTTTCAAAGTACAATATTCACCTCGAACTTCGGGCTCTGTGAATAGTATACTCCTCAGGTAAATAAATAAATCATCGCACTGAACTCAAAAGCAGTAACAAATTCATAAAATGTGTAGAAAAACACTGTTTTAGACAGTAAGAGAATTAAGGTTTTTTTTTGTTTTTTTTTTTTGTTTTTTGTTCTGTATTTTTATGCCCCGCCGTAAAAATGGCTGGGGCATATCGTGTCTGTCATTTCCGTCTTCCCTCATTCTGTCCTTCCCTTCCGCTTTGCGTTTAGCTCAGTTCAAAGCTCAATACAAAGAAACAATTCGAGATATTTTTCTCTAACCTCTTCTGATGGATTTTGATGAAAACTATTCAACTGCATCAACTTTTTTTTTATCGTGACCTTTCCCTTTACCTTGACCTCACTTTTCTTTAGTTAGTGTTTAGCTCACGGTTTTAAAGAATTTCAAACCATTCCAGATCTAGCTGCAATAATGTAGCCCACCCTTTTTTGGGGGGGGGGGGGTTGGGGGATTGGGGTGGGAGGTGGTGGACATCAGATAAAAAAAAATTGGAGAAGGCAACATTATTGCAGAACATCCAGTACACATGGGACAGCTAGGTGGGTTTTCTTAAATACTGTGGAAAAGTTGGGAATATCATTCACTAAAGTTTATATTACTGGTATGGTCCATACATCATTGTAAAACAGCATGCATGTTACTTACAAAATAAGAAAAGAAGAAGGGACAAAAACACTTACTGTACATGTTAATGATTTAGATTAAAAGGGTCAGGATCAGGGTACTGATGTTGAAATGATGAAGTGATGAAACTCAGATTGAAATGACAGAAAACTCCGAATTGAATGAAAAAGAATTAGATTATTCAGGTTGTAGATAAATATATATATATTATTATAACAGTAACTTGATCCGAAGGGTCGTATCACGTCGAGTTGACAGGCGCGGATAACCAGATCAAACGAGACGCGAAGCAATCTCCTATGCAGAGTTGTCGTTCGTTCCTCTCTCAGACACCTCTGCAATAGGCTCACGTCAAGATTTTTGACATAACGTATAAAAAGTAATATTTGCAGGATTGTTTCAAATTAAATCAAACGTTCTGGATTAATTTAGTAAATATCTATCTGAAAAGTCAGAAATAAACTTGGAAAATCGGATCACGACGTCACGTGATAGCGTAAATTCAACAGTAAAATTGGGTGATACACATTAGGTATATAATAA